GATGATTAAAATGAAAATGATTATCTGTGAACTTTCGTTACATACTTCTTTCTACCTTTAAGAATATGAAAGCTACCTATTTTTTCAAAGAGTATTTTTTTTTAAATTACAGAATGTGCTTACTGTTTAATGAAAAAGTACATGAATTTTTTATAACATTATGCACCATTATATTTTACACCCAAAGCTCAATAACATTGAATAAGCCAGTATATTTAAAATAATTTATGCCCTAGCTGGATTTGCTCAGTGGATAGAGCGTCGGCCTGCAGACTGAAGGGTCCCAGGTTCGATTCCTGTCAAGGGCACATGCCTAGGTTGTGGGCTCGATCCCCAGTAGGGGGCGTGCAGGAGGCAGCCAATCAATGATTTTCTCTTATCATTGATGTTTTTATCTCTCTCTCCCTCTCCCTTCTTCTCTGAAGTCCATTAAAAATACATTAAAAAATAAAATAATTTATGGTATTAAAGGAAAACTAGAATTTGCCTTAAGATGGTCTTTTTGATGCAAAATGCAAATAACTGGAAGAAACAAAAAAAAGGGGGGTGGGGTAAAAACCCGAAAATGAGTAAAAATGGAGGTCCTATTGAAGTAACTATAGCTTTATACTTCATTTCACCCAAATTGTACAAGCATCATCTATTCTGGAAAAAGACAGGGTTAGGGTGCCAAGTCAGCTTGATGTTAATAGTACTTACTGCTATGATTCAGCAATTGCTCATTACTCCCAAAGAGCAATGGCTGAGGACGTAGACAAACCATAGTTCTGACTCTCGGGAGCATATGCCTTAGCATTCACAGTTTACACAAGGAGAAATACGTGAGTAAATTTGGACTTCTTTATGCTTGAAAAGGAAAGAACGTTGAATGCAACAGGGGCAATCACAATGCTCCTCCCTGGAGTTGCTGTCACACATTTAGGGGAGGACTCCATGCTTGGAGTCTAACTGAAGAATACTGAGTAAATAAGAGCTAGCGGGAATATATTTTCAGAAATCCTGTGCTCATCATGCTTCCCACTAGAGAACTTTGCAAAGGCAATTTACAAACATTAAAATTCTTCCCTCATAAGAAAAAATTGCCACATGTGATGTTACAAATTATGTGATGTTTTCCCTGCCCTTACAAAGCACACCATGCTCAAAGGGAAGAATAGAGAGTAGTTTCTAAATCAACTCAAAATTAAATATTTTCTTTTTCATCATCATTTATGGAACATTAGTAACATAAACTGACTGAACCACACACATCACGCTTCAGAGGAACAAGGTCCTGATTAAACACCTGGATCTCTTTAATAGCAATGGCAATATAATCATCAGTAACCACAGAACTTTGGAATATTAAAATGGCAATGTATGATCCCACCATTCGAGGTTTGAGGTTTGGAATGCATTCACATACCAGCACCTGCCGCTCATTAACTGAATATATTTGGGCAAGGAACCGAGCTTCTCTGACTTTAGGTTTCTTATCCCAGTTCCCACAGGATTATAGCACCGAAACCAGCAGTAGTAGTGGTCGTCATAAAAAGAGAAAGCAGTGATACCACTTCCATTGTCTGAGAGCTTACTCTGTGCTGTGGTCTAAAAGCACATGGGGAGGTACGCAGCCATTGTTTGTATGGGAGGAAGCTGAGGCACAGACAGAAACCTGCATAAGGTGCACGTGTGTTCCCACTGGCAGAATCGAGGTGTGAACATCAACTGCTCTGACTCCAGAGGTCATGACCTCATTTACATCTCAAGATGCATCCCCCCATGACATCTAATGAGGTAATGCTACTAACTGGACATTGGAAATAGCAAAGCACCAGAGTGATGCAATATGGTAACACTGGAACAACCCCATAGAGTAAGTCCCAACCCACAGACATTAAGAATCTCTCAAGACACCCATGGAAGTTGCTGGAATTGTTAAAAAAAAAAATTGGGAGACTTTTGTGGGTCATGGATCCCCAAGCCCATGCTGATGACTTGGCAGGCTGCTCACAGGAGGTTACCAGAGACATAGGACAAGCACGTTAGGCTGCAACTAGTCTGTGGCCAAGCCTCCCAGGAATAACAACGGGCAGCAAGTTAGTGAAGCTGAGCTTTGATACAATGATTTAGCCTCCTCACTGGCAACAGAAAACAATTACGGTGAACTGGAAAGATAACAGGAACACAGCAACTCTCTCTACATTGTCGTAACATTTCTAAGCATTTAAAACAGAGGAAAGACTCCACTCACTCAGGACAGGTAAACTGAACTATAGTTAAATTCACACACTATTGTTTGTAAACACTATTTCCCCAGAAATAGGTACTGTCCTGAGTGAGATGGTCAAGGCAGAAGAAACTGATCTTTAAACTTCTCTTCAACATTTCCGCTTTACTGAGACTGCCATTACCCCTCCCAGAGCCTCATGCTTCGCTTAGTTTATCCCATCTCAGGCAGCGAGGCCTCCAATGTGCATGACCCACCCCTCTCGCTGTACTGTGTTGCTCTCTTTGTTTCTTCTAGAAGAGATGAAATAAACCCCGAAGGCCAGAGTGTACAGTTGTGTAGATTAAGCACTACATAATCTAAGGTGGAGTAAGGGCTCTCACATCACTCCGTCCCAGAAATGGTCTCACCCTCACCCTGAATACTGCAGTGCACAACCTGCATAACATTCAGCAGCCCTGAACACAAATCCAAAACCAGAACAGGCATAGTGAGTTTCACCTGTTCATTCATTCGTTCATTCACTCATTCAACTCAATAAACATGTACGTGTGTAACATGCACCAGACACTGACTGGTCCTGGGCAAATACGAGTAAATAATATTGTACAATCCCTGCCCTCCAGAAACCCACACCTCAAGTCTAGACGTGTCAACAATGAATAACATGACAAGGTAGAACGTGCTGGCCTAGGAGGGAATTCATACACAGTCTTGGCACCTGGGAAGGGAGAGCAGGCCTTACCATGTTTGGGTTGGCCTTATGTCGAAAGCACGTGATGTTCACCACATATGGCCAGTCATCAGGCTCCATCAGCACCCCTGCGGCATGAGCACATGTGACATGGAAGGAGGCCGGGCAGCGGCCGTAGGAACACTGGATGCAGGCTCCGGAGACCTTCTTAACCCGGGATCTGCAGAAGATGCATTTCTGGAGAGTTAAAACAAAGAAGAGCATCACTTCACTCTGTTAACAGCCAATTTCTACACTTCACAGAATAATAGCTATTAGAGATGAAGAAAACTCATTACATCAACAAGCCCTGACCCTCCAGGGGCCCAAGTAGTGACAGCAACACTTTCAAGAAAACATACTGCTTTGGTCATATACTCCCAAACATGTTGAAATACTTCTTGTGGTTAGGAAAAGCCAAACCCTTCTGTACATGGTTCTCCAGGAGCAGAGCTGAGGCAAGGCCCAAGAGTGCGCCCAAGAAAGCTGAAGCTACTTCTCTTGTATTTCCTGCATGGCAGACCTTTTTGTACATCAAGAGATAGAATGTAGGTTTGGAGGACAGGCACACACTCGCCTGAATTAGATGAGGTCTTCAAAAGTGCCCAAATAGCACACAGATGGACTGTTTTCCATTTGCAAGAAAATGTAAGAGTGTTAAATGGTCCAATGTGGAAACTTTGGGTTCAAGTGTTTAATAATCCAAATTCTAACCCTTCATGACTGACAAAAATATGCCTCCCAAAGTGAGAAAATTGAAAATCATCCCAAAGGGCATAATTTTGTTGAATATCTATAGCTGACTAAGCCTGGGGAAGAATGAAAATAAAAACAGCAATAATGATTACTACAATCTGAAAATTAAATTGCATACAATTAGCACTAAACATCATCAGTACAATTCTTATGAGAGATGGGAAAAATAAAACAGCTTCACTAAATATAAGATCTGTGAACCAATACTTGGGTTAGGAAAAAATATTGATCGTAGAACAACATAGGTTAGGTTCAGAAAAAAGAAACAGAATGATCAAAACGCTCAACTTTTCATTCCTAAGGATAAAAAGGCCTGCAATCTGATCAAATGCTAGAGTAACTGTTCTTCTTTTATAGGTACATTTTCCTTCCTGGGACAAAAAAGAAAAAGGTACTTAAACTCAATGCCTTTTGGGGACTGTAATATTTTATCACAGAGCTGCAAGAATCAATGTGCACTTAACTTCTAACTCTTCTTTGCCTTCACATCTAATCAGCCACTTCAGTCTTATAGATTCTGTACTTTAATCTTGCTTTGATCTCTCTCTGCCCATCTATACCAACTGCCACTGCCTCTGCCCATGGTGTCTTGCCCAGCATAGTAATGGCCTCCTAACTGGTCTCTCCCTCTTCTATTTCATTCCATTTCAATTCATCTTCTCCAGGCCTCTCAGAGTGATGTCTTTACAACATAAATCCTATGTCACCCCCTGTGTAATGTTCTTCAATGGTCTCCTTATC